CGTAAAATATATTTTTGTACGTTTATTGTCAGCGATTTTTTTTAATCGTTACGAGATAGATAACATCTTTTAGATTAGAATGTCGGACAATATACTATAAATATAATGGTTTAAATAGTGGACGAACGTTATCTAATGTTAAAAGTTGTTCCCCGCTTAGGTACAATTAAAATTTACCTGTTATTTTTCCTTTTTTTTTTTTTACTTATCGTATTTCCGTTCGAATTATGAAAGCTTCTTAAATTAAATAAAAGAATAATATGATAAAGAAAAATAAATGTACAAATCACTACATACATATATATATACATATATGTATACGTTTATACATATATACATATGTATGCATCAGGTATAAAACATGTGTGAAAGAAAAAGTTCCGACTGTTTTAACGAAGATTCGTCAAACGCATTGTATAGTACTTTCCGATAAGCTTGTGTAAATGCGTTAACCATCGAATTATCGTTTTATCTACACTCACTTTCCTAACTCGATACGGGAGTACTTACCTGTAAACGTGATTGTTTCTCGTCAGTGTGTTTTAGACACGTTATATACAATATCGTACGTTTTTGGTTAAGGAAATTTGTTTTCATTGAAATTTTCTAACGCGTCAAAAAAGAAAAAAGAAAAAAAACACGTTAAACACGCCTTAATTACATTGTTTATTACGTTGCACATATTTTTTTCTTTTTGTGTGGATTTCTTATCGTTCAATCTGATAGAGATAAAAAAAAAAGAAAAATAAAAAGAAAGAAAGAATAAGAAGAAGTAGCAATAACCAGACTGCGTCTGTGTTTAATAACATTAATATCGTCAACGTGTAAAGGTGTACAAACAATAATTTCATTTTTATTTTATTATTCGAATTTTTCTTTCCAAATACTTTGAAGTTTGTTTCTACGTATATGGATATATGCATGTGTATATGTGTAAGAAGAAAAGTGGAAAGAAATGTTTCCGGTTACACGACATTGGTTTGCATCTTGCATGCAAGTTAAACTCCCCCTCAACAACTACGTAAGTCTTCGCAAAAAATGTCTTCTTCTTCTTCTTCTTCTTCGTTACAATACGCTTATAATATTGATGTTGTTGGTCTAACCGGATGCCTGCCATGTGTTTTAAAATTTCTGGACACTTGATAATAATGGCGTTGCAAATGGACGTGAGTTAAGGTGATCAAAATTGTTATTTAGGCTTATAGTTTTGTTATTTTATATAATTGCAATGTTATTTATAATTTATTATTACTTACACGTATATTTTTTTTTAATTTTTATTTGCTTTACTTTGCTTCAATCAATTTGTCCAATTTAAGGTGGTTAACATTGTAATTTAGGTTTATGGTTTTGTTATTTTATATAAT